CATACTATTCACCAGAAATTAAGATGTTCATTGTTATTTACAGTCTGTACTTGTCAGTATTCACCCATTGTACCTTGTATATAGTTACTAATTCACATTTTTTTGAAACACTCTGAAGTAATAAGACAAGAAAACCTCTTTTTTCCCTTTTTAAGTGCTTTCTTTTTGATGGATAATTTTTACCTGCTGTAGACAAGAAAATTTTCTCAGGCACAGCAGTTAATAACCTGACTTTAAATGTGATTTGTTCTAAATCTGTTGCGCATTTCTCAGTGTATATCACAACTGTCACTCAGTACGGGAAGCAGCTCTTCATTTACTATTACATTCATCTGTTCTGGTGACCTGGTTTTACAAATATTTTTAAATTGCTTTTACTTATTTTATGTAACAAATACTGAAATATTGACAGACTACAAAAGATGCTGTAATTTGTGCAAATTCCTTGTGAAAGTACACTTTTTGTGTAGCAAATGCTTTTCACTAACTATAAAGAAGTAAACTATTGGTCACTTACAACAGATAAAGACACGGAATTTACCCTACAACTTTCAGAAATGTTTTAGTATTTTACCTGATAATAGTGCTACAGTCATTCTAAGAACTACTTGAGTTAGGTTACTAATATTTTTAAATTGATCCTTCAGCATGATTTTTCTGTGTTGGTATCTGAGTGTGGCTATTGTATTATCTTGATTTAAAGTTCTAATGAAAACAGCCCAGGGCTTCTGGAAAGAAGTCAAAGGGAAGCCACTCATATTTTTTCTCACTTTAGAAAAGAATGAGAAAATGTACATTGCAGCAGTGTTATTTAGGATCTTTAATAACTTCTTGCTTCTTGTAAACAAAAGTGAAAATGGTTTCTAGCAAAGTGTGTCTGGCCTCCTCTATCAGCAGCTGTGAGGTATAGAATCAAAGAATCAGAATCATAGACTAGTTTGGGTTGGAAAGGACCTTAAGGTCATCTAATTCCACCCCCCTGCTATGGTCAGGGATACCTTCCACTAGACCAGGTTGCTCAAAGCCTTGTCCAGCCTGGCCTTGAACACTGCCAGGAATGGACATTTACCACTTCTTTGGGCAGTCTCACAGTAAAGAATTTCCTCCTTATATCCAACCTCAGTCTCCCCTGTTTAAGTTTGAATCCATTACCTCTTGTCCTGTCATGATGGTTGATAGGAAAACATCATCTTACAAACGTTGAAAGGGAGCTCGGGGTTGTAGGGCCTCAGGTACAAACCTAGTTACTCAGACTTGTGGTAGGAAGGAGACCATCAGTCTCGTTCCATTTGAGAGAGAAATGAGAGATTTGGATTTTTTTTTTTTTTTGTCTTATTAGTCAGAACGTTGCAAATGTGGGTGCAAAGGAATTAAGAAAAAAAAACCATAATTTAGGTTGACTGTGAAATTTTGTCACATAGTTGCTATGACAGTGTCATTACTAATCTGGCCTCATAGCATTTTTTCTGGTATCTTTGTCATTTAGATGCACAGGGACCTATGCTGAATCAGGTCAACACCAGTATGCTGTGGATATGCCTACTGTCTGAACAGCCCCTACCTTATTAATTCCCAAATGTGGAAGGTGCTTGGTGCAGGCTTTCAGGTGACCATGAGGCTGAATGCCATATTTGAATTTCCTCCTTGCCTCTGCCACCAGAGTTGCTATGAAGTCCTGAGCAAATTGGATAAACTGACAGTCTCATTTAATCATCAGTCGTGTGCTACTAATTTTCTTAATACTCAAACTAAGGCACCTGTGACCAGACTCAAAGCTGTACAAAATGTTCACCACTGCAGTAAGATCCAATGTGAGCAGTGCTTTAAGTGTGTGCAATAAAGCTCTTAAGTATACTTAACATTGAGAGATGTCAAGACAGATACCCAGAATTAGTCTCAGCCTCTCTTTGTTCTCCACTTTCTTACATGAAAATAATAGATTAACCTATTCTTGCAAAGATTGTGGAAAAAGAGCTCCTCTAACATTGCAGGGCAGTAGGTGCCGCTGCAGTGAGTGATGAATTACCCACCTAAGCTAGAAACCTATTTATCGTTTGTAGGATAACACATACTGCTTTTATTTTTGTTGAGATCTGACCCCTTACTTAAATTAATACAAAATCAAATTCTTAGTATAGCAAGCAAACAACCCGTGGGAAAGCATATAGCAATTATGCATTATTGTTCAGTACAACATTGTTATAAGCTACAAAGCCTATCTGCCTTTTGAAATGAGAGCAATAAACGAACAGAAGAAAATGCTAAACAACTCTTATGTCTTAATCTTAATTCTGTTTTATTTACTTAAGATCCTCTTTGGAGCAGCATCTGAAAACTTTACAGTCTTTATTACTTAACAGTCAGAATCTTTGTATAAGCTAAGGAAATAATATAGTTCCCATTTTATGGATTTGGAGGTAAGACATGGTCAAGATGAGCCCATAGACATTAAAAGGCATTGGTGTGTGAAAGTTAAGGGCTTCAATTTCAAGCTTAGATAGGTGCCAGTCTTTCAACTTAACACTGGACCAAGCTCCTTATACCGTGAATGACACCTGAGAAGGTGTCATCCAAAACAGCCAGCCAGGTAGCAGGGTGTCACTGACTGTCCCCTGCGGTAGCCCTCTGCTATCTAAGAGGGAATTTTCTGAGACCAGTGGTAGGTCTGTGAAGGTGCCTCCATATACTGCATATTCAGTAGTTATTTGGCTCCAGACAGAAGCAGATTCAGCATTTGAGCATGGCTGGCATGCTTCGGCAATGCCAGTTGCCTCAAAACCCTTGAGAGACCTGGGCAAAGGCATGGGTAATTTCTAAACTGTGTTCCAGCTCAGGGGTGACCTTGATGTACTCCATGGAGCCCTGGCATTCTGGAGCTGTTCTGGGCAGGCAGAAAGGCACCCAGGGAAACTTTACAGGCAAGATAAAACTATATTCAGCCTTAGGCAGGTGGCAAATAAAACTTTGCAGCAATGCGGTTTTTGAGCTTTGGTGCCTGAGCTCCATCTCAGACACCATTAAATTCCTTTCTGCATTTGCCAGAAGACACACGTTGTAATGCAGCAAGTTGAACCCTTTGTTTTCTCTTATATGTGCCTGTTTTTTTTCTTCCCTTCTGTTGTCCTATTTCTTATTATGGACACATTTGGCCACTGTCAAATTGAATGATTTTTTGCATACTTGGTTGGCTGACTTGTTTTTCCTAATTTGCTGATACAGTCAACTGTGCCAGTAAAGCAATTATGCAAAATTGTGTATAAAGGTTTAATGATACAAAACAGTGTTCATCACAAATCTAATTGTGATTCTTACCATACTTTCATAAACTAAAGGTTTTGAAACGTTTGAATTAGGATCTCTGTGGTTAATATCTACCTTGTTAAAAATACATATTTAGTTTAGCAGGTAAGGGAACATTTAATGTACGTGTCACTGTTTACTTTGGGAGGAAGCAATAAACAAAGTTAGTGACTTGAAGATATTCAGACAATGGTTTATATGCTTTCAGGTGGTGATTATGAGAAGTCTGCTTTATTACATGTCTCATTAGGTTACACTGTTATCTTTTTTACATTACAGATGATAACTGTGTGGTTGATTATGCACTGAGTCTAATATAACACAAAGATAAAAATATAAAGATGGACATAGTAACAAAGCAGAATAATGTGTCTGCATACTGAAAACAAAGTGCGTTAAAACAGAATTGACTGGTACAGTATGCTGAGATTTGATATCTGGTTTCCACTCGGATAACTGAACTGGTTCAGGAAAAGAGCAGTAAAGCAATACTTGGTAATGCTTCCACTGAAGCTGAAAATCCCATTGACTTTTCTTGGTCCAGAATAGAGCATTTAGAAATATTTCAAAACTGTTATTTCTCCTTCATGTTTGCATTGATATTTTCTGATTTCTGCCCTGCTGCTTTCCTCAGGATCGTGGCTGGGATTTAATCCTACCACAGAAAGTATTAGCAAGTCAGATATTATTATTAGGACTGACATTTAGTAGAGTCTCTTTTGTATTGGGTCATTATGTACTGCAGGGAGAGACCTTCTGCCACAGCCACTAGAGACAAAGCACACACTGCTTTCATCAGACAGCGTATCAGGAGGGCTCATAAAAAAAGTGGCTTTCCTTTCTATTCCTTTCTTGGTTGACAGTTCTCAGCTTTATGTCATCCTTGCCCTATGAAAGCATCAAGGACTGTAAGGAGAGGGAATAGTGAATAACCTGGCAGTGCTTTCTGCTGCCTCCTTAATCAAGGTCACACTTGGGTGCTGAATTATGAAGGTGAGTTCTGTTCACTTGGGTGCTCCGTGTAGTCAGACGTGTGAGCTGTTTTATACTGAACACAGCAGTCTGTGGGTTGTATAAACAGCTTTAATTTACTGCTTTCTGAAAACAGAGGCCTGAAGCAGTCATGGAGGTTGCAGGAATGTTAATTGTTTGTGTACATGAATGAGCTTATAAATGGTTGTTTTTGCAGTCTTCCATAGCTCATCAAGGGTAACCTTGTCACTGCCAGAGAAAAGAAAAGAGAATGATTTTTTTTTTCTCTCCACAGTCTACTAGTACTTTCAGGGCTTGATATAATATGCCTTTAACAAACCGTGAACTTCTCCCCTACTGAGCCACCGCATCCTGCCTACATTCGGTGTAGGCAGAGAACCATTATAACTAATCCACTCTCCCGTCATATCTCTAGCAAACACATGTAAGTGTTTTCTTTGAATATTTATTTTGATGCAAGGAGTGTTAAGTCTTTTATTTGGCAACACAAACAAGTAGGAGACTGTGACTTCTCAACTTTATAACCTTAATTGTGGAAGTTCGGTTTCTCAGCTACGTGCTTCGACAAATGTACATCAATTTCATTTGGCTTTAAGAGAATAATCCTGCCGCCTCACAAGAACCTTAGAATAGTTCAACTCTGTAGGTAGAAGAGCTTAAAAATTTAGATGCTGAAATGATCAGTTTTTTGCTTTGTTTTTTAACAGGTGCGGTTATATGCAAGGCCTGATGCAATCCGGAGAGGATCAGGGGACTATGCTCTAAATATTACAAGGAGACTCATTGAATTTTATGAAGATTATTTTAAAGTGCCATATTCCCTGCCAAAATTAGGTAAGATTTCAATTAGAACATGTAGTTCACCCATAGGTGGGAGATTAAGTCAGCTTTTTTAAATGGAATTTAAGACCGGAATGTACTAGCTTTTGAGGTAAGGAATGTTTGGGTTAATTTAGAAGGATCAATAAGTCTGGAACTTTTCATCCCTTCCTTGCAGAGGAAGGGATGCCAAATTGTCCTGTCTGCAGCCTTGAACTGAAAGGAGCAGGAAACGGACAGTACTTAAATGTGTTAGGCAGTGGGAAGAGAGCTTGAGAGCTGTCACTGATAAGTGGGTTGTTTTTTTTGTTTGTTTGTTTAATGCAGTTTATTTTGGTCTGTACTTTCATTAGATAGCTATTAGGAAACGTTTGTTCTGTAGTATTTATATCTTGGTGTCTCAGCCTTTGATAATGGAGCAGAATTGAAAATATTTGTGGAAACTGGAAACCTGTAACAGTGCAAGGCTGTATTTTTTGTTTTATGCTGGCTTATGGGGTCTTTTAATTCTGATTAATGCATATGCTGACTTCTATCATTGCTTATTGAAAAAAATCGCTGTGAACTTGTTTTGCTGCTCAAGTGACCAGAATGTAAAAGCTGTCAATTTCTATTATTTTTTAAATAGTTTCTTCTCATCTTCTCTGTCACCACAATCGATTGCTCTCCTACACGCTTGAATACTTTATACTGTATTATTACACCCTCCCTCCTTTGGAACATGTTTGATCAAGATCCAGAAAATCCTATTGCTCAGCAGCAGGAAGAGAGCTTGTATTTGATCAGAAGTGCTAGAGTTGGAACCACAGGTGATCCTCCCAAGAACTCGGGGTCTATTTCATTAAATCCCTTGCCTGCCGAGTAGCTTTATTAGTCTTACAACTAGCAGTGTAGGAGATAGACACAGTAATTGATACTGCTAGATCAGGGCGTCGCATGAATTTTTTATAAGTATGTTGTGGCATTTGTTTCTTGTTGTCTTTGAATGATGGTTTACAGGCAGTGTTCTGCTAGGGAAATATGCAGGTGGGTGAAACATGGCATGTGCATCAGGCTTTCTATGTATCCTTCCATGACTGGCTTCAGCTATGTAATGATGATTTCATAAAGGAAGTTAGAGACTTAAAGATGCCAAAAATTTAGAAGAAAAAAAATAATCAAAACCTTTCTGTTGAATATGAAGGATGAGCATCATCCTCAGGTAGTTTACTGAGGATGCCAGGTAGCAGCAGGCAGTAGGGACTTTATCTGCTTCAGAATTATCTTTCACAATTGCAAACTGTGTTATCATTATATCTTTTAAAAATATTGGAAATTAGTATGTTGCAGTTTAGATCTCCTTGTAGCAGAACAAGTGGAATAGTCTCAAGTAAAATCGTGTATTTTCATCAAGTATTTGTAGCACAGTTGTTGAGCTAAAATGAAATACTGCTGTAAAACTTTAGCTCTTCTGTAGTGATACTGTAGAAAACAGTTTGTGAGGTTTTGTATATACGATGGAAAGGTTAAATTCATTTGATGTAAGTATAACAAGGAAAAATTCAAAGCTCTCAGTGATGTAAATATTTTTGAAAATATTGCGTATGAACTTAAGTGTATTTGTTCCCAGCTCAGGCAGACATTAAGATTGCTACATTTAAGTGTGTTCTAGTGTCTTTAACCCGAAGGAGTTCTGTATTATTACTTTTTTTTTGCTGGAAAATGGAAGGTTAGGGACCACAGTCTTATGGGTGAATAAAAGGACTAAACATGAAAACACTGCAGTCTTTTTATGACAGTGATTTTGCACTAGTATTGAAGACTTTTCTAAAGGAGGAGACAAAACAGCATTAGCTACAGCAGGGGAAGGCGTGTGTATCGGGAGGATGTGTTGATACTGAGAACGCAACTGTGCTCTCTGAAGGCTTGTGACTGTCACTTGATACGCTGCTGTCACTGCTGCAAAGGATTGCATACTTCATTTAGGTTTTAAGAAAAGTCAGAATGATTCTGTGGGACATTTTAGGAATTTTTCATTTGATTTATAAATGAAATGTGAAGTATCTTCAGGTTGGAGTGAAAATTGAAGAATGCAGTTTAAAAAGCTTTTTAATGGCAGCTTCAGATTGTAGAAAATGTTCCATTTCAAAAGGAGATGTTTTAAAAAATGAAAAGTCTTGTTTCATGTATTGTCCAGCTCTAATAAGAGTGAACTTAAACAAATGCAATTTGATTGAAAACACAATTTATATTTTCCAGAGTAATTCTGTTATTGAATTACTGATCAGTTTACTATGCAGGTGCTGCATAGTTACTATCAGCTACCTGAGCAATACGTTGTTAGTGCTGTATTCTGGGGTGTGTGTAGGGACCTGCAACCTTTGATGAAGCACTTCCGTCATGTGTGGTCTTCCATTTGAACTCTATATGGTAGGAATATCTGAGGACAGTTAGGCTTTTTGGATGTATTGCTATATCAGAGGGACCTGTGTTCATTTGTTCACTTCTTATGTCATTGAGGCCCCTTTCCAAGGATCCTTGGAATTTGAAACTGGTGCTCTTCATCTAAGTTTGTAATGACTCATCTATTGTTCTCTGTAGGAACCACTTTCTCTTGATGCTCTTGACTACTTGACTGGTTTTGCCTAGGCTTTTTTACTGTACTTACATGCAGTCAGATGTCTATGGTTGCTGCTGCCAGCTGTGGGCTTCTCTGACTTCTTGGCAGCCTTTGTTACTATTGGGAGCCATGGAAGAGCTGGAGGAACTTTTTTGTCACCCCATGACTAAAATTTTGTAGGTCTTATATGGCCTGTACTGACTTCTGAATGCACTGGAACAGGAGATTTGTTTGCCAGTTGATGTGAATTCTGGTAATGAATGGGAATTGGGGATTTTTCTCATTAGAATAACCAGTTTCCACAGTTAAAAGTTCTACTAAGCTTGTAGAGATGTTTTTTTCCTAATTGTACTCTGAATTAGAACATGCCTGTGTAGGTTTTTAAAGTAATAATTTTTGTATGAATTTCATTTCTGAAAAATAGGGTCTTAACCCCCCCCCCCAGATTCTTTCCAAGACTATATCATTATAAACACTAGTTAAAATGAGGCGTGGATAAAGCATTGGGATTTATTTAATTCTTAAAAGATACGCAGTAGGTTTTTTAATTGTGTTTCTTTGGCTGTTGAATATAAAATATATTTCTGTATTTGTATCACATATTTATTTTTAATCCATTTTGCAACACACACAAAAGAATCCTTTGTATGCATTGAGCTTTTCTTTATGAGGATCTGAAATAATCTCCCTTTAGGGAATGATTAGCTAAGGAGGTACTCTCTACACATGGACAGTTGTGACTCTGAAGTTGTGAATAATTTGGGGTGGAGGATCTGACTGCGTTTTACAACCAAGACTCCAAGGCAGCCCAGTGAGGTTAGCAGGAGACAGGTACAGAGAAAAGAAAAAGATTAGTTACTGCAGCAGGTGGTGATTTGTGAAGTTCTGTGTTAAAAGAGGTTGTAGATGCAAAAAGATTCTAGAGGTCCAAAGAGAGGCATGGACAAGTACATGGAGAAGGGCTCTGTGGAAAGAAATGGTATGGTGTGAAAACAGAAGCTGGGAATTACTCAAGAGTGCTAGTCATACTTCCCTGGTCTTCCTCTTTCCTGAACATCTGCTTGGGCCTGTTGTTGGATAGGTTAATACTGAGCTAGGCAGTCTTTTTGTCTGAGCTGGCAGAGTTATCCATATGTTTACAATCTTCCAGTTTCTCAAGTGTTTCTACTAAAGCGCCACAAAGCCTCATTTCCAGACTACTTCAGCTACTGGAATAAGAAACTTTATAGGGCTCCAGTTATGAAAGACTGACAAAACTTCATGTGTGATGCATAAATAAGCCACTTGTGTGAAGAATTTTGGGCCTTGTTTCTTCCCCTTAACAGCATTGCAGTATCACGGCGTTAGCAGGGTGTGTTTATTGCTTCTTGTAAAACTGTTTTTACAACTAAATTTGTTTTATACTGAGTACTGTATATACACATCCACATAATCAGCATAACCACTGTGGATTGTGTAAATGAACTTGGTTGTCTCAAGGGTTAGACACACAGTGCCTAACTCAAAGGCACTTCACTTGGATTCATTCAACTTTTGCACTTAACTGGCATATCTAAATTAGTGCTGATTGCCTTAGGTTCCTTATTCCTCAGTGGAGAGATCTTCCTGGAGATAGTTTGAGTCTTATATGGGCAGTCTTCCACTGGAGCTGCACAGGTAAGAGAAAAAATGTTTTATTAACCCCTGAGATTAATTTGTCATCTGTACCATTAAACTTTAACCATATGCAGACCTGGGAAGGAGATGTTTAGTGATGAAAAGCTGTGAATAAGCTTGGAAAGAATTTGGGCTTCTTGGAAGGCTTTCAGTTCCCCACTGAAAGTGTCCTGAAAGGTGGAAATATGAAGAGCTGGAGAATCCACTTTGGGACGTAGTGTATGTTGCAGAAAGGCTGGGTGAAAATAAATCTGCTTCTTGTTTTGTCTTGAGGTCAGTGGATATGAGTCAATATTTAATTTATAAATACTGCAATTTGTGTGAGCACTATAGTGTTAAATATATCTTGATGGAGTTACATCTGATATATTTTATGTAGGGCTTTTTTTTTTATTCCAGGTATGTTCAGGGTACTAATTACCTGGTTCATGCAAAAATTGTATGGTCCAGTTTTCATTATGCAGCAAAACCACTTTAAAGTTATGAATGCAAAGGCTCAGAAGATGATTTTTGAAGGGATTTAGTGAACATGCTGCACAAAAAAGACAAGGTTGGACCATTAACATTTGCTCTTTGAGTATTTCTGGAGAACGGGTTTCAGGCTTTAAAGTCACAGAAGAATTTAAACTCTCTTGTAATGTGAAAAATGGATCAGCCATTTAAAGTGAAAGTTCAACAGGGAACTGCTGTGATTTTCAAAGGAAACTCGTGTACCTCTGCTCTGTTCCCTGATTGTTGACAGTGAATATTTTGGTGAGAG